GTCTGATTTTCCATTTGGCTCGTCAATGGTGGTGTAAGCAACAAAGGTGGCAATCCGATTGCAGGTGTGGTGCTTGGTTTGGGTGGCTCCCATTGTTGGTTTCCTGTTGAACGAAAAGGTACTCAAAACTCACTCATTTAATCCTCCTGAAGTCTCACTAATCCCATAGCCTCTGTTAGATTTGTCGGGTGAAAGGAACAGACCTCCCTTTGAATCTCCGCTCACAAACCTGAAACAAAACAACTAAGTAGAAATGAATCAGAAATACCTGAAACTTTATTAGCCAACTCCTCAAATTTATTTTGATGATCCGCCACCGAACCTTGTTGTGTCAACTTTGATAATTGACCCTGATAATCTATAAATTCTGAAGGTTCAAAACAGATATGTAAATCTTGAGGAAATGTCCACCAAGAGCGCATCTGCCTATTCGTGTGCATCCATCGATACCATGCTACTGCAGGGTCGTCCATGTGAAAGGAGGCGATAGTTATCCTCTATTCCTCCTGTGTCTCATGATATCCAAAGAACTGTTCTGCCTTAAATTGCCGACCTTCCAGATCAGTTCCATCAAACCTTGGTACCTCAAATCAAAAGGGTTTAAATAAAATCCCTGTGGAACTCGTTTGCATACTACTATTCCCCATGATCAGATTCCTTTCTCCCCTTGTGGTCGAACCGCTCTCTTTTGTGATGCGTGATTGTCGCTCCCGCTCTGATTGCTCCCATTTACTATCCATCATCGACACCTTCATCCCTAACTCCTTAAAAAAATGTTCCCAAGGAATGAAGTTTCTCCACAACAGCCTGCTGAGTTGCTATCATCTGTTTCATTTGGTCATCCAAAGTTTTTAATCTAGTTCCGTCGGCCATTTCATCTCTCAACGAATGTACCAATTGTTAAGCACAAATCTACTCTATATGAGGGAGAAGAGCCTCCAGGAAGAAAGAAAAGAGAGAATAGAGTGTTTAGTCAATAAGTTCTTCGCTGCTCACATTATTCGAGTTCAGAGCTAATATAGCTGATACATAAAAGCTTAATGATACAGTTTCCTTAAAACTATTGAAACAACCTAAATGGCAGCGACGTAAACTACTAAATAAATGCTAATTATTTGCTAAACAACATAATTTTTGGCCCAAAATGGAGACTGACGAACCCTCTGGGATTTTCTGATTTCCTTTGAATCCGCCTTCCGAACAGGTGATAACTCTTCAAAATGAACCTTGTATTATACCAATGATGAGGTAGCTCAATCTATCAAAGATCCGAGCTTTGATGCCTAAACCACTTTGGAATTTTGCTCCGACATAAACATAACACCACAACAAGTATTCTACCAAATATCTTAAATATGAAATTCATATATTTGATGAGAGAGATTGTGTGTTAGAGGGAGAGAAGAATAGAGAAAGAAAGAGAGTAACCTTTTTGTAAAAAAGACTTACTACTACCATTGCCATGTGTTGAATGCTTTGTTGTAAATCTCCCATAATGTTTTCTACATTCTGATTCAGCTTCAGGCAATTCACAAACTTAAGTTATATTCAGACACTATTTCTAGTTTGATTCATCCAATTCTACTATATTAGATGGGGACATTGATAATGATTAGAGTCCACAACAATTGCTTGCGTCTAAAAGCTCTAGTACGATTGGAAGCTCTCGTAGTAATTGAAGCATATTGCAATTCTCTAGGTAAAGAGTTTTCAACTAATTGGGTTGCTTCATACTTAAAGGAAAATTCTCAAAATTGTTTCCACTAAAGATCTAAACATTTCAGCGAGGTTAAATAGTAGAGATACAAGGGATAACCTATTAGACCATCTCCAACCCATTGCATCAAATTAGTGCAAGTTTTAGTGTAAAACACTATTACATCTCCAACCCACTATACCAAATGAATATTCCTTAGAATATTCTTTAGAATATTCGCTTTCTTTTTCTTTATTGTAATAATCAACAATTAATCTATTTCACTCATTATTTTTGTATATATTAATTAATTATTGGCAATGATATTTTTATTAAATAATAATTACTTTAAAAATTATACTAATTTAATAAAATTAAGCATTTATTTAATCAAATAAACATCACATTTAATATAGAAAAACATTACATCTAATATAAAATGATACCAAACAGAAAAAAAAAAAAAAAAAAACAACAACAACACAAAAGTAAAATTCCATATTGATAGTAATTTAATTTTTCGAATTAGTATGTTCTTCCTACAAATGATCAATTAATGCATTTCGAAGAGCATGGTGAGCCTCTGTATCCTTAATTTGTCTATGTCGAGCAAGAAAATTTTGAAATCGAACAATTTCATGCGAAGGATTGCTTCTTGCTCTGCATCAATTGCTTCAAGATCATTTATCAATTCCTCATCATCAATTTCATTGTTGGAAAATGATGATGAATTAGAAGATGACAAATGAGATGGACCTCCAAAATTGAAATTCATCTTTGTAGATATATTAGTTGAACGATTTGGAAGTTGATTTGGTGTAAGATTTTATAGTTGAAGAAAATACTATTCTAGATAAAAAATAATAATTCAGAAAGATGTATTGTCTATTTAAGCTTTTGAGATTTGTGGCTTATTCAAAAAGATGTATTGTCCATTTAAGCTTTTGAGATTTGTGGCTTATTCAAAAAGAAGTATTGTCCATTCAAGCTTTTGAGATTTGTGGCTTATTCAAAAAGATGTATTGTCCATTCAAGCTTTTGAGATTTGTGGCTTTTTCAAAAATATGTATTAATGTCCATTCAAGCTTTTGAGATTTGTGGCTTATTCAAAAAGATGTATTGTCCATTCAAGCTTTTAAGATTTGTGGCTAATTCAAAAAGATGTATTGTCTATTCAAGCTTTTTAGATTTATAGCTTATTTCAAAAGATGTATTATTCATTCAAGCTCAAAAAGATGTGTTATCCATTCAAGCTTTTTAGATTTAGTGTTTTTAAATTAGTGTTAATTTTTATTTTGAGTTATTGTAGTTTAATATTTGCATTGAATAAAGTTTTGTTTTTAATTNAATGGCAACTTGAAGCAGAATGTCCGGCTTTATGTGCCCTGTAACTTCCAGAATATCTGGACTCCTGGCAAATTGAGAAAGAGGAACCTGGCTGGAAATGCCAATTTCGAGCTCCGAATCGGAAGGAAAGGCATACTCTTACTTCCTCACCGACCTGCCATAAGCCCGAGACTGAGTTCCCTCAAGGTCAATCAATAACGAACGGTGGGATCCCTCCTTCACATTATGTATGGGCTACTTCTCTTCCTAGTTCCCTTAAAAGTCTATATAGTATGTGAAAACTCTGTTGCAGCCGAAGTCGGCTCGAGGTTAATCCTTAACCCGTGAAGTCAAAGAAATGCCGTTTCAGTTCAACAAAGAAATGAAAGCAATCAAGACCAGCACCGCTAACTATATTGAGTTCTAGGAGATTCATCTTATCTCGCCTCTTTTAGTTATAGGTAAAGTACGTACTATAGGCTACCCTTTTCTTTCTAATGTCCAAAGAAGCTTCCATTAAAGGAAATGCTTTTATGAATGGGATTTTTCCGACTTTCCTTTCTTAACTAACCTACACCCGGCTTGACCACGAAAGCAGCATTCCTTGCCCACCGTTCTCTTTTAGCTGAAAGTCGAGGAAGGACTGGGTCACGGGTTGTTGACGCAGATGTGGTCAGTAGGCAGAACGGCGTACTAAAATGAGTATTCCAAACCTCCCCTGTCAGCTGCTTCATTCCATATTGTTTAGGGGAAAGACCCTACATTTGGCAAGGAATCCGATCTTTCGCTTAAGTAAGAATCATATGTAAAAAGCCTATGCCTTCTGAGCGAGAGTAGGTATTGGTATAATTGGATTCGCAAGCCTAAGACCTAAATCAAGCGTGCAAATGCAAAAAGGAAGGAATTCTCTCTCCTTTCCGTAGGAGAGAGGCGGATTAGAATTCAGAGGGCGGAGAACTATATCAGGAAAGCGCGGAACAGGAGTGGGAATGAGAATGGGATATGAATGGTGAGCCGTCCGGACAGCTGACGGGCGACATCAATTGAAAATAAGGGGTACGAGCTCAAGCAGTTGACTACTTTCTTTTTTCTAAACAACAAGAGTGTATCGTTCGATAAGGGATGCCCTAAATCGGTATCACTTATTGAACGATACACTCTTTTTCTAAAGCTCAATCCCTTGCTTGTTTCTTTCCTGCCCTGCTGGGTCCCTTCATTGGTTGGCTACCTCAGTAGGTGCTTGTTTGGCATGAGCTGTAGCGTAGGCACAAGAAGTAGGAGGATCCGGAGGTGTAGGAGCAAGGTGCAGGAAAGCCAGGTGCTAGCTAGGTGTGGTCTCCTGCCTGGTCTATTGGTAGTCATCTTACAGTCTTATCTGACCCTCCACTGACTTAGTAGCGGGCCCACGGACCCTTGACTTCTTTAATAGCCGTCCGTCGGTAATTCTCTTCAGGGGTAGATTCCGGCTATCAAAAACGAACAAGAATTGTTTTAGTGTATTACCACACATACATAGAAGTAATGATACCCTTTTTATGGTGAAGAAGGCAGGAAGGTATATATTCTAACAGACAAAGAAGGAGATCTGGGCACAAATCCGTATGAAAATCGTATGACTTGAGAATTGGAATAGGAGGAATTCCTGGTTTATAGTTTACCTCTATAGTTCTACTTATAGGCGGTCAGGACGGGAACTGCAGTTATATTCTATTCTATTTTAAAATAGCTTGGCAGTTCTAGTTCAGTTCTGAATGCTCTAGTTCTGTAGTTGCGGGGGAAGGAGGCCTTCAGGCCGCTTGAAAGCGAGTAACCGGGGACTTACTGCTAATTCCTAATAAGACCGGACTAGATAACTATAACTATCCTAAGACAGAAGCGAGGCAAGACCCCTTCTCAGCGGAGCTTTTGGGGTAGAGTCGAGTGATCATAGGAAGCAGTTCTACTTATTAGCTACCGAGTTCGGGACAAAGNAAGATGATAACGCAATGATGTTGCCCACCTCTCTATCTCGGATAACCCTTGCAAGGTTCCAGAGATTGAAATTCCTATCTGTTGACGGTTTTAAAAACCTCTCAGCTCTTGAATATTTGTCTATCAGCGATTGTCCAAATCTCACATCCTTTCCAGAGGCAGGCTTACCATCGTCGCTTCTACAATTATATATCTATGGCTGTCCCCTGTTGAAAAAACGATGCAAAAGGACTGAAGGTCAAGATTGGTCCAAAATAGCCCATATTCCTCGCATTCGAATAGATGGCAGATTCATCTCTGATCCAGATCTGGAGGAGGAAGAATGAGCTCTCCTAATCTCAGAAATGAAGAAAATAGAATAACATCAGAGAATTACTTCATTCTTTCCTCACACTAATCCTGGTATGTCAGGTTCTTACATCTTGAAAATTAGTTACTGAATTGGTTGAAATGGAAGTCAATGAAGCCCCAGTTTCTAGACCTTTTTTCTTTTCCTCTGTTAAATGAATTTTTGTTTCAATTCTGTAATTTTTTTCCCCTGTTGGCTTTTGTAATCAGTGCCATGACTTGATGAGAACTGTCACTAACATTTTCTCATTTCAATTCTCCAGTAATTTGGTTTATCAATGCTTATTTACAGAATTGTCAAGAAGATGCTTAATTGGTGTAGCAGATATTTTGAAGTGAGGTAATTAGTGCTTTTGCATTTGTCTTTCTGTTTGGTTAAGTTGAATGTAATACATTATATCTGAAATTTGACTGTAATTTTTTAAATTATACTATTTTAATCTCAGACGAACAGTTCGTGGAGCCGGTTTTATGATATGTGAGGAAATGGACCTGATAGTATGCAAGTCTTATTTGGATATCAGGTAATGAAAAGTTTAATAGTTGTTTGGTATTTATATAAATTGAGGTTGATCATACCCTCTATTATGCATTTCCCTAATTTAACTCTGTAGTTCATTACTTATAATGTTTTCAGTTCAATGACAATGCAGTGTAATGACAGAGCTCTCCACAGGGACAAAACCAGGATTTTATTTTGAGGAGGGCTGAAATTCTTCTTTGGTATGGTCTGGTAAAAAGGAAGATTTTTTTCTTCAAATAAGTCTTAATGAATGTATATGAAGAAGTATATAAAATAAATTGGTTTTTTATTACTTTAGACCTGTTAAATTTGTATTAGTAAATAAAGATTATCATAATATTATGTCCAAGACCTTATTGTTAGCCTTGATAAAAATATAACTAATCTTATCAAAACAAAAATATTAAGAGGAAGGTATTAAAACTCAATTTTCTCTTGTAGAACTCATCCTACTCTAACCTTTTTTTTTTTTTTTTTTTTTTTAAATCAAGTGGATTCATCATTTATGTAAACTGGATTTCATCCGGCATGTGTTCATCTTCTGTTCGGGCAGCCGAGTACTTCAAGTTTGAATCGGCATGTCGCTTTATACAATTGATCAGAATGTTCTCTCTCAAAGCCATCTTATATTATCCTGCTGTGCTATGAACCTGTAATGACAATTTTGATACAATGATGTGAATTTGTGTATACAAAATCTGAGACATACTATCTGATGTATTTGCTTTTTTTCCCTCCTTCGGAACGTAGATTGGTACAATTAATTTCAGTCTTTGATCATTAATATATGGAAATTTCATGATTGGTTTTTAATGATTCTCTCTTTGTTTTTTTTGGTTAATATTCCGTATCTTGAATTATTTTTGATGGTTTACTCCTATAGAATATTGACATTACTTTTCGCCATTCCGTGACCATGTTAACAGATTAACTATAGGTTGATAGCAGAAACACACAATACTTGAATCAGTATGACCTAGGAACAAAATTTATTGCTTTCACTTCTTCATACTTGATCCTACGCCAATTGAACCCGCTTGTAAAGATAGGATTTCAGAAGGGAACTTAGAATCCCTTTAGCGGTTTTGGGAGCTGGGTAACACAGATTGTTAAGACAGTAGATGTGCCGATTCAAATTTATCCCAATATATTAATAACTCTCTGGTTTTAGTTGCAATTTTTTTCTAGTGGATTCATCATTTATGCGGGAGAGTCAAGGTATTGTTGTATACAGAAAGTGAAAAATGCGAGAGGGCAAGGCACATATTTTCTAGCGTATAAAGGTATCCCAAGTTGGAGGAATAACCGCTTATCTTATAGAAGAAATGCCATGTCTGATCCAAGGAAAGTAACTTCACTCCTGAGGAAGGGGATGGGACATATATAAAGAGCAGGCATCGAATGCAAGCTGTTTTCAGGCCAAATGCCACATCAGGAATAGAAGAAGCTGATACCGAGCAAGGAAACTTACCCTGCCACATTGATCATGGAAGTAGCGGATTGGATTAATAATGGCGAGGAAGAGACCAAGCAAGAGGCATTCCGTTCTATACTTGCTTGTGAATGAGAATCCTTGTTCCACATCCTTCACAGGAACAAGAGCGGATCGAGCTGACACGGAGAAGGGTTTGGCTGTTGTTATCGAAACATGAAACTTTGATCGAGATGGAGATGCTATTGTGTCAGTTAATAGTCCACATGTACCATACGAAGGAAAGTTTCCAGATTAGATTGACTGTGGGGAGGACTGCCAGGGCATATTGCAATATATTTGNCCGCTTCTCTTGAAGCTCTCTTCTTATGTATGTGATTGAAAGAGACAAAGAGAGGTAGGGATTGGATCGATGACAAAGTAGGATCCCGATTGCTCTGCATCCAACTACTTCTCCCTAGCTAGAGTGAGAAACCATACCTTGCCACATGGAACTGGGTCTTACCATACCATTCTTGTCCTGCCCTCCAGCCCTAGTGAGTGAGCAAAGCAAGCTATACCTGATACCGAGCAAGGAAACTTACCCTGCCATATTGATCATGGAAGTAGTGGATTGAAATGATAGTGGCAAGGAAGAGACCAAGCAAGAGGCATTCCGTTCTATACTTGCTTGTGAGTGAGAATCCTTGTTCCATATTCCTCTACAGGAACAAGAGCGGATCGAGCTGACAAAGAGAAGGGTTTGGCTGTTGCTATCGAGACATGAAACTTTGATCGAGATTGAGATGCTCCTGTGTCAGTTACTAGTCCACATGTACCTAACGAAGGAAAGTTTCCAGATCAGATTGACAGTGGAGAGGTAGCAGATCAAGGTTGGACGGATACGGGAATGCCAAGGAATAGATGGTTGTGAATAGTGAGATTCCCCAAGTTAAGGCTTGACTTTTTGGGCATTTTACCCTTTGTTAGGCGCTGTCTTACTAATCGTAACTTATGTTTGCACTTGTGTTGAGGGTATCGCAACACACCATCTGCATTACAACAACACGAGTAAAGCGCTATTTAATTACCCTGGGAAATAGCACTTCGGACTCAAAGGAGGCAAGCTGTTTATCTTCCATACCTTGAATAGCAGTATCAAGGGCCAGGTTAAGCTTTCATTTAAATCTATTGATGAAAGAAAGAGCCAGCAAGGGTCGGGCGTGCCGCTAAGCAGCCCTAGAGAGCGGATAGGATGGCGCTACATTGTTCTCTCCAAATGACGTAGATGACTTCCGCACGGAAGCTAGAGTAGAGCACAAAGCAGCACGCACAAAGACCCCATCATACCATGTATAGCCAGACCAAAGGAGACTTACCACGAAGCCAATCTCACTGAAATAGGTTGCACATGGTTTGTATCAACATCGGCACAAATTGAGGTCGAGCACGCATATGGATGGCTGAACATGCCATCGATATACTCGAGACAAAAACCTTTCTTATATATATTGTGCCGGCAACGAATGTACCCACTGATTCAATCCCGAACCGAGCCTTAGCCCAGTCCAAACATGAGTGAAGAGCGCCTCTCTTAGTACCAGATGCAGGTTGGTTGCAGAGATGCAGACTCGCTCGCTAGCAACCGTCGTGACGAGACAAACGGATCAATGTACCCAAAGCCGGTGATCAATTGGATTTTTATATAGGAGGAATTGTCACCTAGAAAGCGAAGGAGATCGGGGGTTTACAAACTCCACAGATAAGCGAATCGTCCCCGGCCTTAGTATCATGTCCCCGCGTCAAAAGAACTCTTCATCACTCAGATGGTGGAATTTTTGCGTGCGAGATCGAAGCTGCGTACTTCTCTCCACAAGCAACTCTGTAGTATTAGAGTATATACTAGTACCGCTGGCGAATACTACGACGTATGCCGCTCATGACATTCGGGAGGCTACTATTCTGCGCTGGTGCCCGCCCTTTTAGAGGTGCTGCGCTCAACTCTATTCCGCCTGCACAACTCCTAAGCTTGGTCGGTCTCATAGTCAACACCTTCACAGCTTGATGAATCGCCTTAAATGCCCCTCTATCGTCCTTATATAATATAGCCATTTTTGAGTTGAGCTTAGCCCCGTCCTCTAATCCTTCTTTTTGGGCCTTTGGAAGTGGAGCTCAGAAAGGAGCCCCAAACCCTGGAACGACATATTCCACCACGTCTAGGTATATATTGAATGAATCACTCGAAAGTAATTTCACCGCTCCGTGGGTAATTGAATGCTCCAAATTCTTTTAAAATGAAGTATAGCTATAACAGCACTGCATTGAACACGCTTCAACAAGACCAAAGGAAAAAACATAAGAGAACATTCCCCACTCCATAAGAAAGGAAAGCTTGAATCGTAACGGAAGGCCTAGTATTAGCGCTGCGCCCGTATGGAGAAAGAGGCCTTTTGGCAAAGCCTCGATAGTAGGACGGGCAAGAACCAGATAGAGCAATCCGCCAAAGATATGATGTATGTGAATAAATTCCTCTCCTCTCTTCTATAGTTGAACCAACAGTAACCGAAGAATCCGTGTCAACTATAGCGATAATAGAAACTTAAGTTGAAGGAACAGCAAAGTCCACTTCCGAAAAGGAAGGGGACAATAGCACCGCTCGCTTTGAACAAAATAAATCATCACAACCAACAGGACAACCATTTGTATGCAAATCCGTTCGATAGGAGGTATAAGAAGGAACCTAATCCGCTTCGCGAGGGTATCGTTCGCACGACTAAAAGAAAGCTTTAGCTAATCGACGGCATGCTAAGGAAGCTCCTTATTAGGAAAAGGCACGTACGCAGGAAATTCATCTTTGAGAAGTCACGCGATAGATTCGCAGGAATGAACGAAGAAAAGCGTTAAGACAATTCAACATCTTTTTTTTTATGAAAAAGGGTGCAGAACGTTAGAAGCAAGTAGGCCTCTAGCCACACTACCAACCCTCGCTACGGCTTTTTTTTCAGCTCTAGTTCTCACACATCCTAGCTCCAAGATCTTGCTTTCGCTTTGAGCGCGAAGCTCGAAGGGGCTTGCTGAGATCAAATGAGATATCCCAACCTTTGATTGTCAATTCTATTGTAAGAAAATTCAACATGAGGCAAACAATCTTCCCATGTTTTCAAGTTCTTTGTAATGATAGCACGTAACAAAGAAGACAAAGTTCTATTTACTACTTCAGTTTGACCATCCGTTTGTGGATGACAAGAAGTAGAAAACAACAACTTGGTTCGCAACTTTCCCCACAAAATCAGAGAAAAACAAAAGTGTGAGCAAGAGGAAAATAGAAAGAGAGCAAGTGAGGTCGAGAGGAAAAATGGAGAGAAAAGTGAGCAAAAAGGCGAGAACAGTGAGCAAGAAGGAGAGAAAATTAAAAGAATTATGCCTATGATATGTTTATCAACCTTCGTTAAATGCACATTTAAGCCAACCCCTCACCATTAAGGAAAACTCCAATGAAATTTAACCTCCCACTGGTAGAAGTGTTCCCTTCGCTTTGGCGAACAAGATTCCGACGAACAATGGTTTGATTAAACTCATGGTGATGGAAGGCTTTTATCGATTTGACTTAATATACTTTACTGAGAGTTTTTATTTTGTGTGTCTCACCAGTTTTATCTTGTTTAGCATGTTATAGTCATAACATACACCCTTAGCATGCACACTAAGCATAAAATAAATATGTTGGTGCATAGCCTTAACTATAACCGATTCCCCGAGCCTAGAGGAATTGGTAGGTCAGCCTAGGTTTAATTATAACATCAGATTCTTCATGTAATTTGCCTTCTCCTTCCTTCGCTTCTTCTTCTCAAACATTACACAGCTTTCAAATTAAATTACATTTTTATTTTTACATATTTGAAAAGAAACCTCGAGTTGCATTTGAGGGGAATGAGATGAGAGAAAGAAATACATCGGAGGTAATAAAGAAAGGTAGGGCACACATACAATATTTTAAAATTACATAATCCATAAATTAAACTAGGTCCAAAGGCTTATGCACCCTATGCGTCTTTCTGCTTGTTTTTGTTGGTAAGTGACCAGATTCACGAAGCGGAAAAATGTAATTATACAAACGAAAAACGTCACTTACACATCCCAAAATCTAGGCACAGATTGTATTGTTCACATGCATAAACTTAAAACGTAAAATAAAATTTGTGTAAAAACAAATCCATACAAGGATTTAGTTCATACCCATGTTTGGAGGCTCCTCCAAATATCTCTGATTTCGCTCACAGACACTGTCCACCAACACTGTTCACCAGCTATTGTTCATTGACATTGTTCACTGAAAACTGTTCATCGACACTGTTCACAGTATTTCTTTGCTAATTGATCCAATGTAGGATTGCACTCATGGAAATCCACATGAAGATAATCCGAGGAACCAACAATTGTTTTGCTAGAACAATTGCCGGCTTCAAGAATCAAAAGACAATCAAAGAAAAGAAAATTTTCTTTTTGCACTCAAGGAGTGAAAACGTGAGAGAGAGAGAGAGAGATAGGGTGGCTAGGGCTTTTGTTTTTATAAAAAGCTCTCAATATGTTTTAATTAAGTTGCAGTTATATAGTGCAACTAATTAAAACCCTATTCCACTAAGGAATACCCATGGGCACCAACCCAAGCTTACCCTTGCAACCAAACACCCTTTAATTGTTATTTAAATTTAAATTATTTATTATTCTAATTAAAATCAATTAATATACTTAAAAGTATATTAACATTTAATAATAATAATTCATTTAAATATATGCATACATATATTTAAATATAATCCCACTAATTTAATTTTAATATCAAATTAAATACAGGCAACAACCTCAGCAAATTTAATTGCACTGCGAGATTACCAAAATACCATTTCATCTTGAAAGATGAAAATACCCTTCTCACAAATTGATTCTTAAATTATCTTCTAAGTGTGTGAATCATAGGCTCCTCATCATATAGGTAGTGTGTAGTATTTCGATTAACACAGACCAGGATTGGCCCCTAGCAAGGTATCATGGTCACCCGATAGATTCGGATTCAGTGAAACCACAGCTTATCAGCAGTATGGTTACCGTGCAATCAAAACGTTTCATCATCTGTTATCTCATCGAGACTCAGGTATAGAAATAGTGTCAACCTCAGTAATCCTCGACATCTATGCATTCAGTTATTGGACCAATG